AGTGAAAAAGGAATCCGAAGACTAGATAACCTGTTGCGGTAAAGTCACTCTTGAATGTGAACACTTTAAGTTATCTACTGTGACGGCAGACCATTTCAAGTGTCTCATTTTGATATGTGACCTTCATTCGCATTCAGAGAGTGAATCAGAGCCAGGATAGAGGACAGAACTGAATTATCTCCCAAGAAAGCACTGCAGTCCATTACTTACGAGTACCAGCGCCTCTTGAATCTCAAACACGGTACGGCCATGTTGGAGAGACCATTATCTAACCCTGCTTTCACTACTGCCAAAACAAATTCGAGACGGAAAATTCGAATGGAGCAAGGCTCCCGTCGGCATTCTAGCGATTCGGTGAATGGCATTTTGTGCTATTGTGTCCCCATAAAAAGCACAAATTTTCGGTGTGCGATCGATGTAATCACAAGGAAAGCCAGTGCCAGACGCGAAAAGCTAGTCGAAGACTCAGTCAAAACCAGAAGTCACGAAGCAGGCGGAGCTAGTTATAACCCCGTTTTAACGCAATACTTGAAACCAGATCGTTGCTCGTCGCATGTATGTTACAGTCAGGGCAATCGGAAGCACAATTCGATTACAGCTCGATAAGGTTTCCGATAATCTGGCGTACCTAAAGGAAGATCGGATCATCGAAATACAAACCGACAATGAACACCACCAGAAATGCATCAGGGGGTAAGCTTCAGTTGCTTGGTGAATTTTGTCGTGAGGCGAAGATTGCAGGCCATTTTGATCGTGGTCTTTTCTATCTTGCTGCTTTTGAGCTTCATCTGGGTATGAACAGGAACTTTGTTTGCATCTTTCAACATCGCCTGCCGGCAACTTACACTCATCTTGACCAACAGGAGAAAAGCCCGAGTTCCGGCCTAGAAACCGTTTTTGTGAGGGACTACCGCACCAAAACTGGACTGTCGGAATTTTCGTTAAAAGAGTTGGTCAGATGATCATTAGCGTCCGGGTGAGATCACTGATATTGAAACTGCATGTCAGTCAGCCATGATGGACTAATTGCTCGATCCAAGAAGCGAAAGAACAGTTAGTAGACCTCAACATGCTGCTCAAAACCTTTGATCTTTCAAGGCCATCATCAATAGCCACTGCCTCATATATACCGCCCAAGACATATCCATTGCTTCAACCGAAACGTCGTACGGTTCTGGCCAAAAACTTGTTGAAGTAGATCGGCGCCGAAGATCTGACGTTGAAAGGTCAAAAGGGGAAGGTGTCAGGAAGGCCAGATTCATGTAAATAACCCCAAAATGCCCGGATTCTACTGAGAGTCTGAAACTTCACCAAAATCTCAATAAGAGTACCAGCAAGCATCCAGGCCAGTCAATCGCTCAATCAATTCAGCAAAAGTCGATGAGTCTTCAGGTACGCAACAGAAGCACCATCAACTATGATAACTGTTCAGGCGTTTCATAGAAGCACGGTCGATGTTGATGGGTGCTCACTAAACGCTAAATCTCACTAAATCTCAAATGTGCCCTTTAAACAGTGCGAGGCCGTTGCAGCAAGCTCTCGCTTGTTGCAACAAAGCTACTGTGTTCTTGGTCGGTGGTCTTTTTCGGGCACTAGGCAGTGGAGCTGGGACAGTGATTAGATATAACAGCCATCTAATAGAGGTTGTTGAAAGTGCGGGGTTGAATAATACGGCCAGAAGATTAGTGTACAGGGGCAGATAACAAACACTACTCACCGCTTAGCCATTAGATAACTCGAGAAAGATTGCGTCCCAGCGACGGGTTCATAAGAGTGCCTACATATTAAGGAAATTGTGAGTTCCGTTTCAGTCTCGAAACGGTTGGACTGGACGCCCCATGGTTGAGGTTACCTATATTAGTTAGTAGTGTAATTGGTTTTTCGAACATTTGCGACATTAATCAAACAGGACCGCTAGTCTAGCAAGGTCAACACTGTCTTTCATTTGGAATGTACACGCAATACCCTTTTTGAACCTCTGAAATATTCCATCTTCAGTATAATCTGGGGTGCCGGAGCACAATTACACTTGAAAACCAGACTAGTTTCACCTAATTTTTCATCTCGTTTCCGAGAGCGCAACCAAATATTTTGCTCAAGTATTTTGCCAACGTACAAGTGTACGTTAGCTTAATATGTGTACCCTTTTATCCGAGCACCATCAGTGCTCTAGATTAGTTTTTGTTGACGGTCACCTTTTTCTGTAGACGAACCGGGACGACATCATAATTCGTTGAAACTCTGATTATGTTTGCATTTTATTTCCAAGTAATAGTTCGAATTGGAAAACTCTACAGGGTTGTTAAAGCGTATTCTTCTGGAAAACATTTCTCACCCTGTTGGACCGCACTTTCGAACAAACAGTTTTGTTAGATTTTATACAATAGGGTTTATTTCTGAAAGGCGCCACATACTTCCTTAGGATTAACACTTTCCAGTCAAAATGTCGTAGGCTTATAAATCATCGGGTAATTTGTAGAGGTCGTAAAAAACTTATCAGAATCAGCTGACTGTTCCGGAGTGGTCCATTTTCCTGACAAAATTCGGCGAACAGGCCAAGCCAGTAGACTCTTTTATTTGATATATTTACGCTAGGTTGCTTTTTGAGTTGAGCTCCATTGCCTCGTTCCTATGGTACTTTCACGGAATCCTTACGTTACATGCAATTTAGTTTGGAAGGCACTTTCTTTTAGAATCATACGCTTATCATATTCATCACTTCACCATATCTGCGCTGTTAGGTGCTTGCACCGTGGCTCCCAAATGGAGCAGTAACAAATAACTACTGGTTTACTTTCAGTAGCAAAAAATAAAACCGAAATCAGGGGTGCACTGAAAGCGAAGGCTGCCACTGCCTCGCATGGAGTGGATTGGTTAGAGGTGATCCGCATATGTAGATTCCGTAATGACTCGTGTTGGTTACGGATGTTTCGTACCATTATATCCATGGGCGTGAATTGGTCGACACCTTTGTTATTATTATTATTTGTTGTTGTTGTTAACTAGGCAATACAGCATTTCAGGCTGGTTCAGTTCATTGAAGACATTAGAACCGTGGGTAAGGTGAATGTTGAATCAAGCTTGTCATACGATCTGTGGGAGCGTAGTTAACGGTGGATGACTGGTAGGTGTATTTATTTACCAAGAAGGGTTCAGACAATTCTGACCGAATCAACCTAAACTACGGTAAACTCGAACAAAAATAAAGTGGTATGTCCGCTAAAGTAATTCTTTATTACACTTTTACGCAGAAAAGTCTGGTAATATTCAAGAACCTGGAATAAACAACACACGGTACACTGAATTAGGTATTCCCTTCACTAAGTGTTTTATGATATTATCATGGCAGTCCATATTACCTTAAGCACAGATATGGGGTTTCTATAGAATGTTATATCAAATCCATCAATTTGGAACGGTTTTGTTCGCTTGGTAAGAACGGAATCTCGACAAGCCAGTAAGAGGACAACTATGAAACACCCGTTAGAATAATACAACTAATCCCAGGGAGAGTTTTCCCGTGAAGAATACTCTTTCGGAGAGTGCATTGTAGCTTCGTCCTGCATTCTGGTTCAGAAAACAACAAGAAAGTATAATCGCTTGGTCTCTCCCGGATACTTCTTCCTGTGGTTTTGGAGCAATTCAAAGAACCAAACACTGTGGGGCAATTTACTCGCCTCTTTCGAGCTGATAACTGCTTTCGACTGTTCCAGCCGCACACACCAGTCAGATGAGGACTCACTCCTAATACCAGCAGGTGGAGCGATGTTCTGGGGGGAACCAGCAGCCCAATCGATAAGATGATGCACCATACAAATCTGGAATCTTTTTGTCTGACTCCAATTTTGCCACCTATTCTGTTATATCACTCATTTTAACATTTTAGGCCACCGCCAGTCCTCATTTACCAAAGGTCATATCTACAAAGCCGGAGATCTGCGATAAGTTTGCGATTCATGTCCTCTAGTATTATGAGTATTCCGCCTGACATCATGAAAAGTGCCTTGACCCCTTCGCGGTACAATACACTAGCCTGTCGACGCCATTCAGAGTTTTAGCTGCATGGTCTAGATCACCACTACCCATTCAGATGCGCATTCAACTTTTCCACACCTGTCGCCTGGTTATCTGCCTTCAATCTACTCCGAGGTCACAATACATTCTCCAGTGTCCTCATCACGAAGATCTTGCCTCGAATTGACGCGAAAGATTCAACCCAAGAAATTTCTCCGCAAGTTGTTTACCCCCAAAGCTCCACCATAAAAGTATTCAAAATTCCACTCCAACGCTTCGGATCTATCAGTTCAGAAGGTATCTGAGCCTTATTGTTCCAAAACTAGTACTATGGTCATAAACATGAGGTTCCTTCCCAGAACTTAGCCAAGGACAATGCAGCAACTCGGTTTCCTTGACTAACAAGCAATTTAACAAATCGTGAAACACTCGCAGCGTTGTACTGAGAAGATGAAATTCTCGAGGCCGGCGTGGCGGTCAGCGTTTATGTGAGTCATTTCCGATCAAATCAAACCAAAAACAGGTAGCAATTGTCCTAAAGCTTCCCACTGAAAAACCACACGGCACTCTGGTTCTTCAGATATTCGCCATGGCTCGCTTGCCTCAGCTGGAGTGTAACCACACCATCCAATACAAGTGCGTTCTCCTCGTGGCTAACGATGGGATTTCCATCTCCAGGCCTAATTTCTCAGAAATTCCCACACAAATGCACAATCACCAAACCAGCAGCCGACCAGACGACCGCTGTTCCCCACGCATTCCGCTGCAGCTTCACGCCAACCGAACACCCATCGAAGGCACCAGTAGTATGGCGACTGTCCAAAAGTGGGCCACCTGAGCTACCAACGTTCTCCTCAGTAGCAATCAAATTCGGAGCGATCCCACTCCAACAGTACGCCGGTTCTGTTGAGAATTTCCCACTTGAGCTTGCTACAGTAGAGATGTACGACAAAGAAATTAATTTTAATCGGTTTGTAAAACACAGCTTATTGATAATACAGTTCCAAATTCATTCCATCGTTAATTTCATAGTCACGAAGCGTTATATGATCTTTGAAAATGGTGTACCATTTCTTCAAAATAATCCGGTCCGGAGGAGTACCAGTCTGGGCGGCAATCAGTTTTTTCAGGTCGCCAACTTTATCCGTTGGGTTACATTTCACACGAACTTTCTTCCCAAGTCGGTCGTTGCAAGTGATCTCAATCATCCTGTAAACAAAAAGCAGGTATATGTAGTACAGAAATAAGCAAAAACAGCTATATGTTAGGCTGAAATTCGTCGGCTTCCGACTGCTCATGTCCAGGTACTCTGACGGGGCTACATCTCGTGACACAATGTAACGGTCCATTCAACAAGTGTGGGGATTGCGACGCAAAGGTCCAACCATTCGCTTAAAGCATTAGATTGGAGTCGGATGTAGACAAACCGTTTAAAGTAAAAATAGGTATGTCTCGAGAATTAGTAAAGCAAAAAGTTAAACTGATCGGTCGAAAGTGGCAACTTTTCCACACGCAGCTGCCATGCGACCCAAAGGGAGCCTCTAGGTTGCCTAAAATTAAACAACAGCGACAACGAACAGTTCGGACAACAGCTTCACGAATGAATTCCAGACCGGGGTCCGCTGTCTAACTCCCCCCTTTGCATTCCCTTTGATCCCGCAAGCGTAATTGTTACAACCAGAAAAAATCTCATGCCACATAGGTCGTCGGTCGATGTCACCCGCCTTATTTGGTGCACACAACGTGGGCAAGCGGAAAAAGACCACTACTGGTGCCTCCCTTCTATCCCTCTCAAGTATTTTTTCCTCCCTCCCCTACCTCACTAACAATGTTCTCCTCGTAGGCCAACCGTCTTGCATCGGTCTTGAAAACGATATCTGCGCGTCATCAGGAGCGCATGTGTAACATAGGCACATTGGTTTCAGCTGCTAGTTTCTATCACCGCAAAAAGGGGAGAGTGTGGGACATACAGCCAAGCCTGGGTTAGTTCTGGAACTGGGTAGCCACGTATTGAAGGCGAGAGATTTGACGCACGACCGCCAATGACTGCGCGATTAGGCCATTTCTGCCAATGTCATTGATCATTAGTGAGCCCTATTAGTGAGTCGGGTCCCGCGATCTACATCCAGGGAGGCGGAAGCTTCCAACCCGAAAAAGTTTGCTGGTTAGTGTTTTCGTACTTCGTTGCCATGTCATACACCTCTCGGCCGCCTCCACTCAGCACAGGGCTGGGAAAAAAGCTCTGTGAGGCAGACGGTCTTCTGGCATTCAAGTTACATGTTCTAACCATCACAACCCATTAAGCGTGAGTAATTCAACTATCGCGGGAAAGTTCCTTCTCTCAAAACCACTTCACGTACCTCAGCATTACTAATCCGATATTACCACCAGACCTGACCACCGATGTTCAAACACTGACATCTTCTGTATGTTCTCTGCGCGTAGGGGCCACGCTTCTAACCCACAAAACATTATGAATCACACCAGTGATGTGCACATTCTGCCCTTGACGTTGAAACTGACGTCACGTCAGCTCCATAGGTGTCGGAGATTGGCAAAAGCTGTCCTGGCATTTCCGAATCCATAAAATCTTTTAGCTATAACACCCTTCCGGTGCCTAGCTGCCATACCACCCGAAGGAATCACGAGGGCTGGAATACTGCATGTTGCCCAAGCCTAGATAGGGGAGGTCGTGAGGCAGAGATCGGGTTCGAACCAAGGACTCTCCGATCAGTAAATTCGCGCTCTAACCACTTGAGCCATCTCGCCCCCTCCCAGTTCGATAAATAATCTCATCTCCAGCAAACCCACCGAAACTTATACAGCTGTCCAGGTAAACAAATTTATCCACAAAGTCGATTGGCTCGCCTGCAAGCAAGAGGTGTGGGTTTGATCCAATCAAGTATTGCAGTAGCACTTTACACTTTGCACTTCGCCCGGGGGGAAAGCCTTACAGCCACACTCCTATTGCAGATAACAAAACAACTTTACCTCCAGACTGCCTCGTAATACTCGCAGTACGGGGACTCGCTGCTCTTAGTCGGGTTGCTCCTTGCTGGGCTTCCTCGCGTGATTGAACATTTAGGAACTGATTTACAACCAGTATAGCCCACAGAATTATTGCAACACAGAAGCCCGATCACCACGACGGGGTGACAGTTTTAGGTAGGGAAGCTCAGATATGGTTGCAGCGCGATCGCTGACTGACGAAGATTTCAGTGCACAAGACTTGGGCACCAGGGACTCAGCTGGACGGTATTGGACTACTCTAGCTATGTGCTCACCGAAGAAAATTTCCATGCGTAAATCAATTTCGGAACATCCGAAATCGTCTTCGTACATGGTGCTCCCCAACAATGTGTTAGCCGATGACCCATTGCCAGCACTTACCAATGGTGTGCTCCTGGTCCTGACGACCTTCCACTTACGCTGTGGTGAATTCTCCAACCAGTACCTAACCGGCCTATTTGCGCCTATCTGGGTGAAACGGGCCGTCCCAGAAAGCTGGGTGCGCACCCTCAGAGAAGGTACTCGCGGTGAATTTAGTGATCAGAGAGGCGTCAGTTTAACCCGTATTGTGACAAGGGTTCTGACATCAATTCTTTGTCGTTCTAGGATGTCACGCGAAATTTTGGCCATTGAGCCTCATGGCAGATTTCGACCGGGTAGAGGCCACGTCGACCACATCTTAGTCCATCAGGTATTGAGCTAGCACCATATGTGCAGAAGAACCCCAAACTTGTCTTTCCTTGACTTCGATCCTGTCTGTCGATCAGTGTTCTCAACAATACCCGAGGTATTCAGTTTCATGACCGACGAGATAACGGGACGAACAATAGGTCTTCAAAACGCCATTGTTCAGAGAGCTACCGAAGAAAAACACTGTCGATCGCAACCTAACCGTTTTCATCTTCTCACGGAAAAAGCACAATATTTTTTGAAGAAGTGACCAAATTCATCCAGTCTTTGGCATGTGCTTTGCACATATAAAGCGTAAGGTCATGCTCCTGGAGATAGTCACCAAGCGCTCCACCTACACTCCGGAGACGCATGAAGTTGTGCAGCGCATTACATCTAGACGTCGCGCACGTTCGGACTATAGTTGGGCAGGTGGATTAATGCACGCATCTCTAGGACCCGGTTCTCATTTGTTAAGCAGACGTCTATGGTGATAAGATGGCATATCCGTGAATCTGAGGTGATGCGTGCATCGGGCAACAGTTTAGACTGTTTTGTTGTGGTTGTGAGACGGTCTGCGCGAACAGCGGACCCAAGACGTCTTCAGGTCTCCGATAACCGTTGTCTCAAGACCATAGTTCCTGTATGTTCGCGCTATAGAATCCTCAACGATAAAATTAAAAACGAGCGTTCGGCTGTGCAATAGGGACTTCACGTGTATTACGTATGCTGAATCATCTGCCGAAAAAAGTGCTGCTTTCTATCCCCAAAATTATAATGGCGCAAGTAGAGGAGTATGAAAGCAATTGGGGAAAGTTAGTGCTATTGATGCAGCTGGCTTTCCAGGATGGGGATGTATCGATGGAGGCGCTGCAAGATACGACTGCTAGCCGACGCCAGTGGCGTTCATTTTCCTAGCTTCCATCCGTCGCATACGAAGGAGTGCAAGAAGGTACGGACATCTCGGGATAATTGTAGCAGGCTAGCAAAAACATCCCTTTCACATAAACTTTTATTCTTTCCTCCACAATAAGGAGAAGATTCAGTGTCGAACACTGATATTGTGCTGTTGATAAAGATGCATGCGCACCAGTAAAAAGCTCAGGCTCGGCAGTGAAAATCCTTCGGCAGTAACTAACCCCTTTTCTACCAAGTATGACTTCAGATACTGTCCTATATGGTTCCCAAATGGGACATCTCGTTTAATCAGATATGCGAGCTGATGGGTTGTTTAGCTCCGAATCAAGCATCAGCATCACAACTCACAGCAAAATCAGAGAATCCCGGTGCCTCAGTGCCGTACAACCATGTCAATTTATATGAATAAATCCATAGGATGTGGGGAATGGGACAAGAAGGGGACACGGGATTAACCTATCACATCCAACTTCGAGCCATAAAATCTGGATAGAAACTCAAAGTATGAGCACCACTGGGATCAGTTAGCCGCCATTTCCTTTAGTGTAATTGTTCATTTCAACCAAACATAAGGAACCCATACCGAAGGGCAAACAAACGGCACCTTCACCAACATCCTTCATTCGATTCCGCTACTTCATATTCTGTCCAACTCTGAGTTTCTGCCACTGCGAATCAGGCAAGCAAAGCAGTGACAGTCTCATCAGGCGGCATACGTAACACGGCCCAGACACTTCAGCTTGTAAATAAATAAAATAAATCGTTCAACTGTAGCGCCCTTTCGGTGCCTAGCTGCCATGCCACCCGAAGGAAGCACGAGGGCTGGGATACTGTCAGGTTGCCCAAGCCTAGACAGGGGAAGTCGAGTGGCGGAGGTCGGGTTCGAACCACGGACCTTCCGGTCAGTAAATTCGCGCTCCAACCACTTGAGCCATCTCGCCCCATAAACTAAACGCCGTCTTATGAGGCCATTCAAAGTCGGAACTCGAGGAAAGCAAATAGGATTCTGGCCGAGAAAGAGTTATGTGGACCAATTATTCACTCTTCACACGTAAGTATAAGTGGGAAACCATGTATACAGGCACTCTACGAATTTGATGTTTCTTGACCTCAAGGGTGCCTTCAATTCAGTTGACCAGTTTGTTGTTTCCAAAATACTTGCGCAGCAGGCTAAACCGCAGAAGTTCGGCAGTATCATGCGCTGTTTGTGTTCAAGTACCTCTGGGCACATGAAAGTGTGTAACCAGCTCTTCAAAGTCTTTCGCAAAAGCCTTAGTGTTCGATAGTGATGCCTACTCCCTGCTATTTTGTTTAACTTTGTCGTTGCTGAAGTGGTGAAGCGAACTCTGGAAGGTCTCCAAACCATCAGAGTGAGAACCTTGTCGACCTGGAAAATGCAAGCGAAAATGTTATCATTTTTATAAGGGCAGGAGACGCAAGCATTGCTAGATACTGAACGGCGTCATCCAGTCCACATGTGCTTAGCGCCCATAAAATGGAAAGCAATGTTGCGGGATGCATAGTCTTTCAAAATGGCTTTATAGACTCAAGAAATGACACTGGGATTCGTGGAACACTGCACATATCCCGGAAGTTGCATTCATTCACGAAGGATAGGTGGTGTGTGTACTATCGCGACCATAGAGCTCTACAGGAGTCCTCCGTAAATCATCATCATCATCATCATC